TCACTTACCTTATATGCATTATGAGGTTGGCAACAGTCAGTGGAGTTTGCCTCACTCTATTACGCTGCACGTTGATGATGATGAATATTGCTAGTTGTGAATGATATACCGTAGACAAACAATGATGATTGACATTGCGGAGTGTGGTGCTCCGTGAGATACAGCAAATAGTTGTACTAAACGCGTGGAGCATGTTAGTGTTGACGGGTTATAATATAATGTGAAACGACTGTCATGGGTAATTTCTCGAGTAGTCTGAAACACCCATACATTTCGTATGTTGCAGCTGGCTCACCTTGTCAATCGTATGTGCTTATCGGACCCACAGACGAGGACAATAAAAGAATCTGACAGTTCAAATTTAAACATCAGATCGTAACAGTACATTTACGAGGCTGATTGAAGCTGGTAATTCTTTCACTACCTTTTCGCCCTTCCTCGTGTTTCCGTCATAAACGGTCTCTGTTTCACTATAACAGATGACAAATTTGTGATTGTTGAGTTTTTACCTAGTGAATGTGAGGTTGATATAGATACCATCCTCAGGATCAATAAACAGGAAATAGCGAATGGGGCCCGTGAAATCAGAATACCAGAAAACACATGCTAGCTCACAAACGGGGCTATTTTTCACTCTTAATTTGTGGTCCGGAAATGCGTTCATCGCGAGGTGTAGATGTGTGAAACCTGTGTCCGTTTGTTCTATTGTCCATTGAGGCAATTTTCATTTGAAAGAACTAAAGTATATCGAACAAGTTTGCTTCATTGCTCCATCTATTGGTTAATAGCAGTAAATTTTATAACGGAGGTAGTAGTGTAGAGTGTTTGGGGAATCCATAGTGAGTGTTATTCACAAATATTTCCATCGCATGTGGATGGCATCTCTACTGTTACATTCGGTGGGGTAACTAAATCGTCGTGTTTCAGACGATTTGGCACCCGACGCTCACGCTGCTTCTGGTGTTGGGATTGAGCTAACTGCCAAGGCTGAGCGCTCGCTTCCCTACTGGATTCCAGTCAGTGGCTTTATTGCGCTGCACGTCTGGATAGTTCAGTACGGGTCAACGGCAACAGAACAAGACGTCGATGCTTATTCGTTCTATCGGTGTGTGGACCGACTGACTGCAATACACATGAAATCAAGACTGAATTCTACTAGGATCTTTCTCAGTTATTCTGGTGTTCGATCAACGGACGTCGTAGTAGTCGCCGGAGACTTCAGTGCTCAGTAGGATACCTGGAGTTTTCGGAAAGACTTCTTGGTGGACCACCACATGCAATACCTGCCAACTTTACGGACAACGGAGATTGCCTACGCCAACTTTTCACGAACTTCACAGAGCTGAACCCAAATCGATCACATCACCACTAGTTAGCTGGAGAGATTCAATTCAACACCGCCGCTCTCACTGGTCAACACCTATGGATGCGAACCACGTTTGGTTACGAGTCAACTTCTCACTAAACCTGGAAAACAACCGCAATGAGGCCACCGGCACGGATACCCTCGATATAACGACAGCGGTAGTTGCAAGTCGGCCTTTGAAACGAAGCTCTCCAATCACCTGTCCGTTCAATTACCTGCCGAAAATCTCAATAAGCACTGGAAACAAATCAAGGAAGCTATGCAAATATCGATAAAAGCATTAGCGGACTCTACCGCAGGCTCAAAACACAAACGATGGATCTCTACTGCCCTGTTGGATGCCCGCAGAACCCTCTCTCACGATGCAACATAAGACAGCTCGTAAATTCCGTAAACGCCAGCTCATCAAGATTGTGAGGAATGACCGCGATGAGTGGTGGGTAGAAACGTGTAGAGAAATAGGGGAAATCGCGGTTGCTGGTAATAGTCGCATTATTTTCCGTCTAATTCGGAATACGGGCCCCGGGAAAACAAGGGCAAGTGAGAATTAAGGGACCCAATGGAATACTGGTTTGTCATCTATGGGTTTCGATCGATGGGCTAAACATTTCCATGCTCAGTTCAGTTGGTCCCCATCGGCATCAAACCTATCATCCCGCACTTTGACTGAATAAATACTCTCAGTTGATACCAGTCCTCCATCTGAAATGAATTTTTCCCGGAAAATAAGTTATCTCCAAAGGCATTAGTCCTCCGACCCAGATGAGCTGTCACCATCGGCGTTTGAGGATGGAGGCTCAACTTTAGTCTTGGGGTTAACGAAACTCCTGGCCTCAATGTCGGATAGGTATCAGGTTCCAACTGAATAGTTTGAATCGGTCGTCTTACCGATTTACACTTGTGGAAACCGCAAAAGGAATTAGTTTAACCAACATTGTCTCTAAACCTCTCGCTGGCACCCTACTCCGTCGATTGTCTGCCACACATGAATAGTATACGCGTAAGAATCAGGCTAGTTTTAGCCCAGATTGAGTTTATATGGACCATATTTTCACTCTTCGCTAAACTCTGGAGCACCAACATTCTTTTTGTAGACCCACCATTGCTATCTTCCCCGATCTTTAACCCTCTTCGGGCTTCTATTCAGTCAAACGCCGCCTTCCCCTAAAGGGTGTCTCCGAAAAGTGTATTTCAACACTGTTATCCCTTTATAGTAATATAGTCCGAGCTTACGGCACTTTTTCGCCCGAGTTCGTCACAGAAAGTCGTGTTCCTCTCCTTTTCTATCTAACTTTGTCATAGATTTGATTATGAAAACAGCCCTATCTTCTTGCTAGGATTGCGGCATAGATTTTATCCCAGGTCGTCGACTGTCTGATCTGAAGTATGCAGACAACATTTTACCGCTTAGTGAAGATCAGGCAATTCGCAAGCTTTTCTGAATGGTCTGGGTGCTAGTGTAGCATGTGTTTTGCACCGTCGAAGTGTAAAATGTTGCTACAATATTGGGTTTTTCCAGCAACCACCTCACTCTAACTGGGGAAGTAATAGACCAAGTGGACAAGTTTTGTTTTTTTGGGCAGCTATGTCTCACCGGGAGGACGCATCACGGATGAAGTGTCAGCTCGCTTACACAACCCTCGATTGGCATTTGCCAACTCGAAACATCTGTGGCACCGCCGCGCCATCCGGCTATCTTGTAATGGTCGAGTATATGCTGCAGCAGCTAGGCCAGTGGTGTTATACGGACCAGAGATTTGTTCATTCAGAAAACAGGATAAAGACAGACTGCCAGTTTTTGAATACCGCCGTCTACGCAGCGTGGTACAAATCTGGTGGGGCAACCGGGCGAAAAATTATTGAGTTTAGAGACAAAGCTTTAGATAACCGTAGTCACCCACTGGAGCAAGTTATCGACCTCCATAACTTACTTTGTTCAGATCTTGTTTTACGCATATGACCAAGTAGATTGCCACGCTGAACGATTTTTGCCGAGTCAGGTAATGGGTGGAAAAAGGCAATGGTGGTGGTGGTGGTGGCACGAGGACACGAAAACCATAGCCAGGAGATTCGGTCATACAGGTCACGTTAATCGCCCTGAATAGGGACCTCGGGATCACTGTATTCAATGATTGAAGACTGCGTGATATGACTGAGTGTCGTAAACATTGGTGTTCTTGCATGTTCTCAATTTCTTTGCAACCCTAATCCACTGAAATTCTCCATTTTCTCTTCGACTTTACTTTAAACTTTCCTAGATTTCTACTGCTTCATTCAAGTGGGCAACCAAGACCGGCTCACGAAAGTGATTGAATGATAGTCGTAAAAACTGAAACTGACTTCATTGTACAAGAGGATGTACACTCATGTTGCCCTTTTACACTTTCACGTGGTAACCGTTGTTTTATTCAATTGTACAATTAAAGCTGGCACACTCCTAGTAAACAGCGCTTCAGCCAGAAAGTCGTGCAGGTAGATCCTTGCTCCCGCCCTCTCCCAATTCATCCAAAATTATGTTAGTCGGATGAATTTCCGGATCACATCGCGTGTGTTATTACTCTGATTTCGCTTATTTGTTTTATATTTTCGTTCACCTTCATGGGTCATAAAGATTAATTGCTCCTTCACTTTGTAACTCTCTGTGACTTCAAATTGAAAGAGAAATGCCTACGTTGTGCATTATCTTATTTGCTTCCCCCCACTTCTTATTTGATATGAGACAGCTGTGAATTTGCAGCGGCTAAATAATCCACAATCTTCCCGGGATAAACTACTGATTTGGAGCAATAGCCAATGGCAGGACTCTGATGCCACTGCGTTACGTTTGATTTTTTCATTACTCGTCTATTTTCATTACTCCCCGTCTCTCCCGAAGGAACATTTTACACATAACACGCATTCGTCGTCTAAGAAAGAAACAATCGCGGTCTCTAATACTCGGTTATTCTCAGCTTGGCCATTTTCCTCTCTGTCCAAACTGTGTCTGTTCCGGCTCATTCGAGTCTCCTGCACGACCGACACGGATCCATTCATCATACGACAGACTCGTATTCTGTTCAACAGACTTACCCGCGCAGTCATCAGTTTGGATGCGGATTTATATCTGCTCGCCACGGAACGTGTTTTTGGTGCTGTCTCGGAAGACGCCAAGCTGAAACATCTGTCCACGAACGCTGTAACTGATGTTCCGCATCCATTGTGGTTTTGGTGGCATCATTTGGTCACCAAAGCATTGCAACCACAATCTTGGGAATCTTGGCTCGTTGCAAAACCTGTGTCAACCTGTGGTATGTTGTACCGTCTTTTTATTGTTTGCTATATGTCCTCTCCCTCGAATCCTTCAGGGTGATTTCGTCGTCCCCATCATATACTTCGCGGTGTAATTTGCTGTGTTTTCATACTTCCTGTATGTCACAGCGAATTGCGTTCTTTGCACATTCTAACCGTTTGATACCTGCTGAGTATCCATCTCTAATTATCTTATACTAGTTGCCTACTGCTTCGGTGCGATGAATGCCTATTGAGACCTCTTGCATTTCCTGTAGTTTCATTAAATTACACCTAAATGCTAAGCAGTAGTCCTGCAGGCTCAGTTTTCAGGTGACACACTCATTTGCCTCGCATTTACGTACGAAGGTTTCGATTGCTGTCTTTTCGTTGCCGATTTGGATGAAGAAGTGGAAAGCTCAGAGCAGTATCAAGGTAAAGATATCTATTCATGTCGACTAAAGTTGTAAAAGAATGGAGCAGTTAGACTAGTGCCACTGTTTACAACACTCAGATATATCACTCCGTGTCTCATCGGTTATGAGGATCTCGAGATCCTCTTCCAGGAGGCCTGACGCTACCTATTTGGCTCAGTCTTCTAGTGAGAGCTTTCAAAAACTCGTTTTCGGGTCTTGGTTTGACCACGCCTGACTTTTGCGACCCCCACTACCTACCTCGACAAACATTGCACACTGTGACAATCTATTCGGTAATCCGCTTAACGCATACTTCAGCCAACGTAATTTATGGAGATCGATCATTTTCTCTAGTGCTTAACCGCAATTTCCGGGATTGCTCCTAAACGCCTCATTAGTTGTCCGGTTGTTCTACCAGACTCGCACACTGGGGTCCTCGTACACCGATTTCTGCCATAGGTGTCACAGCTTGACAAACACCAACCGAGCCTATTCTATGCGTGTTTCAGAGAAACAGTTTACGTCTAGGTGAAAAAATCCTAGGTTCTGCTTAATGCAATTTATCGACCGATTTTATCTAACGTACGAACATTAAATGCGGCTATGTGAAAAAGAGGTTTGAACTTCCTGAATCCATTCACTTTTGATTGGTTGGTCTTATTAGTTGAATTATGAATGATATCCTCTGATTGGCCTAAAAAAGAGGATCTCCTGTGATTTGCACGAGAAAGAAAACTAAATAGACAAAACAGAGCGTTACCTAAAATTGTTCGTGAGACTTCACGGCAGGATATACTTCGCGGTAATCGACATCAATGAATCGCTTTTTCTTAAGAAACTTTGACAAGAGCCTTTAACTCAAAAGCCTGAATTATCAGGCATTGGGGCGTAGATCAAACATGGGGGTCACGACCGAGACACCTGCGTCGGAGCTTCTAGAGATGTGTCACACATAGTTTAGTGGTTTAGTGGTTTGTTTGCTGAAGAGTTGATTGTTGGTCGACGGGATAGCATTTTATTGGGGGTTATCCAGTTTCGGCAGTGGGTTGCTAACCAATGAAGTATTACCACTTCCCCCACCTTCGCGCGGAAGCTTCAGGTGTCCCACGCCTACGTCCATCTTGCATGGAATTTTCGACCGATCACCTTCTGTTTCCCATGTTTGTCAGCTAGAGTGAACTCTCCATGGGTGAAAGTGGTTGGTTGAAAGAGGCCACAAGGAGTATCATCTCGTGACCTTGTCAGGAAGCCTCTAATGATTTACCTTTCTGGGGTGATTGGTTATACGGCTGTGAGAGGCCATCCTATATGGCTCACCGTCTCATGGAGACACCACGTTAAGTTGGACTTTTGTCATAATCGAATTCTACAAGCTCTTGCACCTTAACGTTGTGTGATTTTTTAAGTATTTGGAACTTTCAGTCGGTGTAAACCGTTGCTTATGCTCGGGTGGGTATATCGCAGAGTAATCTGAAAACAAGTAACCGGTAAAACGCACTCCATCCGTAACATACTAAACACACAACTGATAGGCTTGGGGTCAGTCATATGCATTAAAGGTTTTTAAATCAACTGAGCCGTGCTGTTGTCTCGTTTCGTATTCCGAACTCCTGTTGCTAATTTACCTATTACAGTCACTTGTAACTGTCTATTTTCTCCTAAGTTTGTTTAACACTTCGGTTCTCAAATTGGATAACCATGTAGGATAGAGTCTATGTTTACCCAACTTAGTGTTCATCGCATCCAATTATGGTTGGTGACTACATCGTAAGAGGGAAATTTGACAGGGAACTGCCTGCTGGTCGACTTATTTGCATGGGACACTCCAGGCTCTTAATTCAGTGTTATACCAGATAACGCTGATTTTCGGTTTAATGGTAGATTGATTACATCTTGATATATTGTCCATAAACACTTAACTCTTCTTCTTTATTCGCTTTTTATGCGAAATGAAACCGGTGAATGGATGACAAAAATTACGATTGAATTTACGCTTGTTTATGTCGATTACATCTGCCTGGATTCCATTCCCTGTTTCAAATTCCTTTGTCCTAGAAAATATACACATATACACATATACACACAGGTCAATTATTTGGTCCTGCCGTTAAATAATGCTTTGTTATTAAATACATCATATACGTTACGAACGAGACCGGAACTGTGGATTTTCTGTCCGTTTCATTGATGCCTATCCGTCGACCAGTATGATAATGGATTCTGGGGGTATTTGATCGACAACTGTTATAGTTGCAGAGAATTAGAATTATTTATTTATGCAACGTAGTCGCACAATACCCAAACGATTCGACTGTTTGTGAGACCGTGCCTGTTACTCTCTTATTTTAAACGCTTTGCTTCCCTGTTCAATCTTTTCTCTTTAAAGCCCCATTACAGGGATCCAATTTTAATGTACCTTCAAAACAAGACGAGTTTTCGGCTCAAGCCATGCCTACCACAGATGATGTATCTGAAAAGACCACTACGCAACCCGAGATCCGTTTTTCAACTCAAGAAGTGACTGCTTTGATTCCTTGTGAAGGGGCTGGAGTGCAACCAGTAGTGGACTGGACACGCTTGGCGGTCGGAGAAATGACCACCACAGAAATGGAAGTTATGGCTCGTTTCGAAGCCGACGTGTCCAGACGTGTCAGCGGAACCGTGGATCCGGTGAGTGCAATGTCGCAATCGGAGTTGGAAGATGAAGAGATTACGGATCGACAACCGCGTGATGAGATAGATATCCTCAGTTCACGTCACCTGGTGATAAATAGAAGCATGAACATGACTTCTAGCCCGGTTGGTGATACCATATGTGTGGAGGCAGAGATATGCAACCAATCTTCGTGTCCCATAGAACTTGATAACCCACAACCCCCATCTTCACATATCATCAATACGATGGAGTCTGGTTCAGGTTTAGTAGAAACTTCGGGTACGTTTGTTTAGAATCAAGCCTTGTATGCACGTTCGACCCATACTTCGTGTTGTTGAATACCCTTACTGATGTTGTACTACGATTCACACTACAAAAGGTGGTATGCTATCCCATTTCTCATGTTTTGAAATGTTTCCTTCGAGGAATGATGTTCGTGACGGACCGATAGAAACATCGATTTTAGCTAATCAGGGTAGAAAACGGGTAAATTCTTGTAATCGTCATTTGTTTAATAATTGAGTATCACATTTATGTACACAACCCGGAAAGTTGGAAAACCAAAAGACAGTTCTCTCCCAACACCGACTGGGCATATTTAGTTTGTGCATGCAATCTAGGAATCGGCCTCAATATGTGGATTGGAGTCAGTAATCAAAGAATATAGGAGTAAATTGTGATAATCTTCATCATTACCCAGGTTTGATCGTTAACTGTATTCCAATCTGCAAACAAAATGGCAAGCCCTGCTGGTTGCACTACCATCACGATTCATTGCTTTTTTTAGTCATTCCGATCGAACGCGTTTTTTTCTTATATCTCTACATAGTTACCGTAGTTATTACAGTAAACACCTGAGTGGGATAAAAATGAATGTTCCACTGGTCTCCCATGTGTGAAAAATAAGCAAAATTAAAGGCTTTGAAAAGCATGAGCCCACCGGGAAAGAATAACGCCTCCGTTTATCGATTTTTGTAATTCATAATATTACCCTAACCTAAATTTTTATAGTGATTTCTGCAAACCTGCGTCGATGGATCTTGCGGAGGCCGAATGTGTGTCGCTAAACTTTACCAAGTTGTTCATAAACGTGACTGTTCCTGGGAGAGGTTGGGACAATGTATCATACGTTCAGAACGCGGATGTCTTAAGATCGCCTTTCACATATGTTGTTGTCGACTACTTTTTTGGTAGGCTTGTGTTGTGGATACTCAAAGACCGTCATTAAAAATGATACCCAACCAGCAAGCACTTCGCAAACGCGAACGTGCCACAGCTGTCTCCCGTCATATTACTGTTTCTTTATTGTGAATTCATTGTAGGGTGTTTTTTTATGTCTGCCTCTGTTTCACGGGACCTACGCAACGTCACGGGAACTAGCAGTATACAGGTATTTATCTGACTTTTGTAATTCCAAACATTCTGGCTTAAACCGACAAAAATATATTTCCTCTGGCATAATATGTTACAAAGATTATTATGCCTAATGTGTTTGGCACGTAATCTCAACTAACTCGCATGTGCGGCTATCCTAACACACTCGCCGGGCGACTGGTATCCGAAGAATGACGGTTAAGTTTTATCCGTCCATTAAACTGCATCTCCAGTGCTTTTGCGGATGTCTTCGCACCGAACTATTATGCATGGGTCTAAAAGACTATCAAACTAATGCGGTGTGGAATTGTGTATTGAGGGAATAAACGAAGCAGAATAAGAACAGAGCTCTCTTTAACCGAAGATAATTTTCACCAGACACTTGGACCCAACACGGTGGCATCCACGGTACGGCGTTGATGTGAGAAAAACCCAACTACACACCTATCTGTCGGAATATCGCTCTGAACGAACTCTAGTGGCTCACTGAGGTGCACAGCACTAAGCCATCGATCTGGCTTCTTTATTGCCTTGCTCTATAGTAGGAAACTGACTGTACAGAATGAGGCGCGTGTGACATGGATTTTTGCAATTTTCCCTATCTAATCTGTCTTTTTCATCTAATTCAGTGAAGCGATTTTCTTCCATTCAGTCTGTTGTCTCTCCATGCATCACTTGTTATACCATATTTCTCATAATGTCAATTACCTTGATGGTTTTCGCAGTGTGACGGTACAAAATCATTCCACTTCAGGGGCAGGCTGTTGGCGGTAAAACTAAATCAAAATATATGCATGTGGAGGTCTTCTCACGTGGTTTTCATTCATCTTATCTGTTCTTCAACCCAGGCTGTGATAATGGGGTCTCCCCTCGCTGCCCGCTGTCATACAAACAAGACGAACATCATCCTGACGGTACCAAGCAACAAGATTTGGCATTAAGTGTAATCCGCTGTCTGGATCGGGCGTGGTCTATGTGCTGTGAACCGCTGACACAGTTACGACTGCGTAGTCTGGGCCGAGTTCGAAAGTCGACCTCTTCATTTTGTTCACCTACACGCAACTGTTATGCCTGCGAACATTCGGGAGATCACGGAGACAGCTCACTATCGGATGACCTCAGAGACGAATTTAATCTAGCCCAGTTTCGTTTAAGCCCGCAGTTGATTGGCCTGCTCAAACCACCGTTGTGGTTGATCAACAGTTTGATGACACATCCCTGTGTTCGTATGCGCGAAGCGGTTAGTATTAATCCTCCTTTTTCAAGTTTTGGGTTTCTTTGTTGTTGCTTATATCGGTCATATGCTTTATTCATTGTTACATCAGCTATGGTATCATGAATATCCATGCGGTTTACGTCCCATTCCAATTTAAAGCATCCTTCATGACCTGCTTCTTTCTGTCATATATATATATACCATAATAAGTAGTATATGCTTGACTAGACAAAATTCCCCTGGAAGCACACCACCGGTTTCGCGGTCCTTGTCGATTGTCAGGCATGCGTATCCGGCAATCTTGTGCCAGTTCATTGATATATTTGTACCCGGGAAGTGTATTTTCCCCACAATAACCTTGTTTGCAACACCGAGTCATTTTTGGTTAGACAGCTCTTTCAGAGCTAGTCCATTGTGAGGAAAATATTCTTTCTGAGTACAACTGTCAAAAGATTACCGGATACAAATGGCTGAAGGGCGGCAAGGATCGCGAAACCGAACATATCATAGCGAGTAACCTCGGTTGCTAAGCGATTCAACGACTCTTGAATAGTTGATCCATTGGCACCGAGTAATGGCATTATCATCCTATACTCTAGGTCTACTACTCCGTCTCCAAGAAGAAGCTCAACACCTGTATTCGTTACGTTCTGTAAGGCGTTTTGTAGAACATCATCTATGGCCAAGTTGAAGAAAAACGGAGATATGGAGCGACCTTGTCGTACCCCACTGGTGACAGAAAATGAGGATGAAAGTTCACCATATGCGCTTATCTTCCCCCAAGGTCTGACGGTAGAGTGCTTTCAGAAGCAGAACATGCTTCTCGGGTTTTTCTTATCTCCGCAAACTGTTCCACAGTGCGGGGCAATCGATGGAGTCAAATGCCACTGTTAAACACGACGATAGTTTGTCGTCTGTATCTTTGGAGGTGTTATAGTAGCTGACGGAAAGTGAAGATTTGATCTATGCAACCACG